ATAGAAGGCTAGGTGAGATAATAGAATGATAAGATTTGGGTTATCCTCCATCAGGCAGTGAGAGAGACTTTGCAAAAACAGCCCTTTTGCTTTTAATCAGACAGTAATCAAGTCACTTGACTTCAGGGAAATTTTTTCACCCTGGTGCAGTGCTTGCTTGTCAAGGCAGGCAGGCCTGTGGGACCTAGGCAGTCCAATTGTAAGCTGAAAGTTGCTCAGAATATTTTGATATTATGAATATACAAAAAAGGGAGGTCATAACATAAGTTGCTCTGATTTTTCAGAGCAATTCCCCTCCATCCGGACCGTGTCTGACGACAGAGGTTGCATAGCTCGTGTCAGTGAACCAACTATTATCTCCTGAGGTTTGGAGTACTTGAACATTTTCAAAATATCTGTACAAAAAAATTCTATATTAAAAAATTTGAGAAGCCCAACCCTCCCTAGTGGCACAGCGGGTTAGGGCGCAGCACTGCAAGCAAGCAGCTGCCACTTTAGTGTGTGTTCAATCCTCCACCCGGATGTGACCCACATGGCGCGGCAGACCTTTTCTGACCCACCCGCTGCTCCCCTCAGCAGTGTACTTCATTGATCTGCCTGTTCTGCTCCCCACTGTCTCTGGTGAATCCTCTCACTGCCCCTGCACTGCTGGCCTGTACCCCAGTTCTGTAGGCATAAATAAATAAAATCTTTAAAAATTTTTTTGAGAAGTCTTAGGAGAATTCTTACTATCTAGCATGGAGTTATGTCTCCTAACACATTCTGTTATGAAATTTTTTTAAAGATTTATTCATACAGAACTGGGGTACAGGCCAGAGATGTGGAGGGTGGGAGGATTCACCAGAGACAGACAGGGGAGCAGAACAGGCAGATCAACGAAGTGCACTGCTGAGGGGAGCAGCGGGTGGGTCAGGAGAGGTCTGCTGTGCCATGTGGTCACCTCCTGGGCAGGCAGGGATTGAACTCATGTGGAAGTGGCTTTAGCTTCTTTGTGCTGTGCTTTAACCTGCTGCTCTACCAGGGAGGGCCTCTGTTATGAAATTTTTGGGGGAGGAAGGGCTCAGTGGTCAAATTAGTTTGGTAAATGCTACTTCTGCTGTTCTAGTGGAGAGATTTGAGATTCATTAAACAGTTTAAAGACCAGCTTAACGTACTACTGCTCTGGTGTAGAAGCCAGTTTTATTTTTATTCACTCAACTTGTGCTAATATTCTATAGAACTGCTCATGGAACACCTTTTGGGAATGCCTTTCTAAGGAAGACAATCACAGCATGGCTTTGGGAGGCCAAGTTCTAGTGCTCACTGGAATCTCAGAAAATCTATTGAACTCTAAGAGCCTTAGAGTCCTTACTGTGAAATAAAAAATTTGACCTAAATGTCAGATTTGAGCAACATGACTCTCTAGGACCCATCCTGCCCCGACTGTAAGTCAAGGTATGAGATTTATTGTTACAATCAGAATAGCTGTGCCTAGGACTGCGTGAGGCACTATTTTCATCCACTCATTTCATCTCATTGTGAAGTGCACACACATAGTTGCACCTCATGCCTAACTGCGCAGGGTCTGGCCTGGCAGCTCCTGCCGCCAGGCAGGCTCCTTCCCTGTGATGTAGACATTCTGTCTCATGGCCACGCTGCCATTCCTCCACCTTGACCTGCTATTCTTAGCCTCAGCATCTTTGTAAATATTTTTCTCTGGCTGGTATTCTCTATTCTGATTTCATTTTACAAATTCTACCCATATGGAGTGAATTGAAGAGCTGACCCCCCCAATTCATTCATGTCTGCTTACAGCCTTAGATTGTGCAGCTATAACTAGTAAAGTTGGGTTGACATCTATGGGATTAGTGTGGGCCCTGAGTCCAGTATAGCAGAGTCCTAATGAGATAACAGAATACAGAGACATGGAGAAAAGGCAGTCAAGCGGGGATGAAGCAAGAGAGGAGAGGGGTTCAGCTACAGGTCAAGGAGACCAAGGGCTGCTTGGTCTCAAAGAGTCAAGGAAGGACTGTTATCCTTGAGAAGGGAGCAAGGCCCTGTGACACCTTGACTTTGGCTTTTTATCTTCCAGAGATGTGAGAGAATACATTTCCGTGAGATCACCCAGTTTGTAAGGCTTTTCTCCATGAGCCCTGGAAAACTAATATCCTACCAGTCTGCACTCAGCTTAAAAAAAGCTGCATCCCTCATCTAGGGGTTAGCCTTACCTTTGACACACTAGAGTAGCCTCGGGGACTTCTTCACAGCATGTCTGCTACTTGTGGTCTCTTGTCTAGTGTCTGCTTCCCTGGTGCTGTGAGGCCCCGTGAGGAAGGGTCATGGCCATTTTCTCAAGGCTGACATAACGTCCATCAGCTTGGTAGAATGCTAGAGCTTGCTGGACACGTGCTCAGTCAGCAGGAGGCTTTGGGCCTGTCCCTCTTGAATTGTATCCCTTACAGGCTTTCCCAGCAGATGAATTTCATACTAACTTTTCAAAACGCACTAAGTTTCATCAGTGCCCAGGAGGTGTTGTAAGCCCATTTGCAGGGAAATGATCTCAATCCAAAAAAGGAGCATCCCATATAATAATTCCTTGCCCCTGGGCCCAGACCTAAATGCCAGAGACAGTGAAAGGGAATTGCAGATTTTCTCCTCCCACTGGCAGACACAGCAGTGGGGCTGTGATGGGAGAGGAAGATAGAGAGGTGGGGCAGGGCCGAGGGTAGTGGAAACACGCTCCACAATTCAAGAGTCATTCACTGAGTGTCTGCCTCAGATCCACTCATTGAAGTTTTTTTCTTTATATTGGAGTGAAACCAGTTCTCTTTGCAATTATATATGGGAACATTATCTAGCCTCACCATGGATATAATTTTATTATGTCAAGTCTGTCTCACCCTAGCTGTATTAGCATCATGCCCCATACTTTTAAATAAATTGCATTTTTATTCCTTAGTGTACAGTATCATGTCAGTTTTACTTTATCTTCATTACCCAATGACCTTCATTTGGCAGTGACTTCTCACACTTCTGTTTTCTGATCTGTTACCAGAAGCTCTTTAAATTAGGCACTTTTGCAAATGGGAATGGAGGTATAAAAAGGACAGAACAAAATAACTGTAGGCTACAAACTGCCAGCTCACAGCTTTCTGTGTAACAATTTATCTTAATAAGTTATCCATCTTAGTAAGTTGTCATATACACATGCCGATTGTTAGCCCAGTGTCACCAAAAAACTGGCCTTTCACAGTTAGAAAGGAGAAGCTCAATACTGCAGTCTGAGCATAAATTTTCTCCGGTGAAAATAATTTTTCTGTTTTTATTTTCTTAACCCCAAAGCCTGTGTTTCAAACCTTTCCATTCCAGAGTAGCACAGATGGTTGAAATGTTCATTTTCTCCCTTGTTTCTAGGCAGCACTTTTCTTTTTAAGTGAATTTTTATTCTTAAAAACTAACTCGTAAATAAAAACCATCATCCTTGGACATACCCCAATCTCAGTCTGCAAACCATGAGACTGAGGAGGTTGGTCCTGTTTTAAATGTGAAGAAAAATCCCCAGATTTTAAAAACTGGAATTCCAACTTTACTTGAAGCATAGTTAGGACCATCTTATGTCATTTCACTGTGGAGGGCCCAGCCAAAATTCTTGATGTTAAAAGCAGGAGGGAGGGGAAAAGAGACCCGTGTCTGTTCTGAGATGGAAGCATTTCAAATGCTTTCTCTCCACCTTCCTCCCCACCTTCCCATGCTGGAGGCATTACCTCCCCAGGCTCCAGGGACCAGGTCCCCTTTTGCCCAGAGATCCAGAATGGTGCCACCAAGTAATTTGCTAGACAGTGAGAAATGAGCTTGTTGAGCTTTATCTTTGGTTACAGGAAAGGGCTGGAGTCATGTCTTTTCTTGATGGACAGCACGTTATGAGGATGTCACCACCCTGCAACTAGTCTGGGATCAGCTGAGTTGAAGCCACACTCAGCCTGTGTTTGCTGTAGGGTGATGGCCTTAGAGCACCTCCCCAGAGCTGGTGATGGAACATGCAATGAACTCCAGGGTTGGTTTTTGCATGTGATTTTTCACCCTGTCCTTTCAGTCAGCAAAGCAGAGCAGCCTTGAAATGCTATGAATAAATATTTGAAGTTTCTGGGTTTCTCATAACTCCATTTTTCTTCTAGGGATTAAATGGGAACCAGATGAGAATGGAGTCATTGCTTTTGACTGCAGGAACCGAAAATGGTAGGAAATGTTCAAACTTCTCAGTTAGTTTTGTAAAGAAATGACTTTCAGAGAGGCTCAGGACTCATTTTTACTTTCATCTTCCTCCAATCTAGGTATATCCAGGCAGCAACTTCTCCAAAAGATGTGGTCATTTTGGTTGATGTCAGTGGCAGCATGAAAGGGCTCCGTCTGACGATAGCAAAGCAAACAGTCTCATCTATTCTGGATACGCTGGGAGATGACGACTTCTTCAACATAATTGCTGTGAGTGCAGCTGTTTGTGTTTTCCTCGCACTCCGGGTTCATTTGCTCTCTTAGCGGCAGCCTGGTAGCGCTCACTCTGCCTTTGTATATGCAGCATTAGTGCCCTTGGGGAGGACCAGTTCGAGCCATGTGAGTCATTGACTCATAATACTTGACGGGCTTTTGGAGATGGGGTGCAATGGACTACATCTCTTCTAACTTAGCACCCAGATATTGTCATGTGGAGAAGTAGACCCAGATTTGGTTTTCCTGGTGAGCTGACCTTTTCCAGACTTTGAGGACTTAGACCTAGCAAGCTTTTCCTTGAATTATTAGAAATGTTCACATGGAGGTTAAGATAGATTAGCCTGATGATAATGCTAGTACTAATAATCATGAAGATAAAACAACTAAAATGTGGAGAGCAGTTTAAGACAGGGCACTCTATCTCAGCTTTAGAAACAAACGTGGCATCTATTAATTCCCTACTGTGTACCTTTTGCCTTATGCTTCATGTCTGCATTATTTTCATTCCTCACTGAAACTCTAAGTGGTAAGGTGTTGCGTAGACATTTTCTCAGAGGAAGCTGCTGAGGTCTAGAGGGTGTCATTAGTTGCCCAGGCTCACACTGCTGGAGAGCAGGAGGTCTGAGACCCAATCCCAAGACCAGGCAGGGGCCAGCAGCCTAGAAAGAAGCCGTGTTGAAGCTTCTACCTCCAGTTCTTTTTTCATATCTCCCAAATTTCCTGGTATGGCCCTCAAAGTTTCATTTCTCAAAGATTAAAGTCAAAAGTGAGAACTTAACCAGGTACCTATGTGTGATGGTCAGCTGGTGCTTTGCTCACATCAGCTCTTCTGGGACTGCAGTGGCTGCAGCAGTCAGCAGTGGCGTGTACCAGTGGGCAGAGCTTTGGGGTGGGTCTTAGTTTGGAATCCTTGTTCTGCTGCATACAGTTATGCATCTTGGGACAGAACACGTGCTTCTGAGCATCAGCCTACCAGCTGTGAAGTAGATGCGGTCACCCTGTCCACAGGGTCGCTGAGGTTATCACCAGGCTGGTGCAGGGGAGTCCCCTGATCAATGACTGGATTCAGAAGAAGCGGAGCCAGTTGAAGGGTGTTGTGCAGTTGTCCACATGGCTTCCCTTGGTCCCTGAAGTGTGTGTCCTCACAGGCCCTGTGTCTGCTCAGCCTTCTGCGTGGATGTGGCTCCCACTTTGAATGACCATGACTCTCGGGGGTGAGTGCCTGGGAAGTATCCTGCTTCTGATGAGGCTGAGCAACAGGGTCCAACTGCAGGGCATCGTGGTTTCCAGCTTTAAATTTTAAAAAGTCCTAAAGAAAGGAAGATGGGAGAGAATAATAGATTCCACGGGAGCAAGGATCAGTCTTGCTCACTCATTGAACTATCCCCAGTGCCTAGTAAATTGTAGGACTTTAAAATTTTATTGAATGAACAGTTCCAGCAAGGGGCTTCCTAAGAATGTGCAGTGTTCGATGGGGAGTCACTCATTGGATCTTTACCCCATCCTGTGCCTCATGGCCTGGAGACAGTCATCAGGCTGTACCAGCTGGAGGTCACGGTCTGAAAAAAAGGCACAGCAGGCATCTCGCCATTGCCCTCGCCCTGCTTCCTGAGCAGGAGCAAAGAGGACATAGTTAAACAGTTTTTACTGAAGGGCTAGTGGGCACAGTTATTTCAAAGGAGACTTTAGAGACTTAGAACTTCTTCCAAATCAAGAAGTTACTCAAGTTACCACTCTCATGAATATTCAGATGTGGCCTGATCCTCCCCCACACCCTGAAGCATTTATAGATAAGAAGCAGCTAATTTGAGACTATCTTTCTTATTAATCTTTAATTACTCATTACAGAAGTACCAGAAATTCACATAATAAGATGAGCTAACTAATTACATTGTGAATCCTTTATCAGTCAGGATTTATTGTTCTGGTAACAAAACCAATCGATTGAAATAATCTCTATAACTTCATTAAGATATACAAACAATGTCAACTCTATAATAAGAGAGGGTGATTAAGAAAATTAAAAGTAGACATGCCGATTATTATAGAACAGTGAAGGAAAATAAAATTTTTATCCAAAATTGTATAAGGGGACCCTTCAGAGCGTCCATTAACCCTCAGTGTACATCTGTTTGCTAGTTTTCAACATAAATGATCGGCTTCAGGACTACTTATGTAATTATTTTGACAACTGAAAGGACGCTCTGAACTATTTTATTTGAAGCTTTGTTAGTTAAAGTCATGAACTGTGTTTCCCTAATGGGTAAAGGAATGAATCAAGTATGCTAGTGAATTTATATTAAAAGCCTGAGGTCATAAAAGAAACCATGAATTAACAGTAACTTTTACACATTGCTTTTAACATAGGCAGTGTATGTAAAAAATATAAACAAGTCAGAAATGTTCCCCATTATCTTTCCATTTGGCCCATATCCTTCCAGATTTTTGTATGTATGTGAATGCATAATTTCCATAAAAATAGAATCTTAATTTACAGAATATTCAGCAACTTGACTCTATCCTCACGTGTTTTTCATCCATTTTGGCCTCCCTCTCTACTCACGTTGTTATCACATATATTAGAACAGAAGGGCTTTCCACCACCTACAGTTGACATACATCTTATAACCATCCCCCCTTTGCTGAATACCATGCTGTTACCAATCTCTTTTCTTCTCAGGGGTACTGCCATGAATGGACTTGTGTGTGTATTGTGTAGTTAGGTGTGCTTCCATACCAAAAGATACTTAACAGAGTTAGATGTTATCACAAGGTCCACAAAGCAGGTATAAAGTCTACACAATTACAAAATGTAATTTTGCCATTACAACACCTCATAGACTGGGCAACTTAAACACTAAAACTTTATTATCTCACAATTCTAGAGACTGGGAAGCCCAAGATCAAGGTCTAGCAAGGTTTGATTTCAGATGACAGTTCCCTCCTTGACTTGGGGCAATCACTTTCTCACTATGTGATCAAACAACCATTTCCTCGTGTGTACATGCAGAGGAAGCTCTCTCAGGTCTTCTCTTTTAAGAGTACAATCTTCATAAATGCTCCCCTCATGATCTCACCTAACCGTAACTCAAGACCTGCATCTCCAAGGACCATCACTTTGGAGGTTAGGGCTTCAATATATGAGTTTTTAATGGGGAGGAACACAAACATTCAGTCAGAGCGCTGGCATTTGAGAGTTCTAAGCAGTAGATTTGTAACTGGTAACATAATAATCTTTGTTGTATTCTCTTCAGTTCTCTCTCCAATTCTTAATGGGAGAGAGAATTTTGCCTTGCCGAATTGTGTTTCATATTGCTATGTTTCCCCATTACCTCCTTTGTGTTTCCACCCTGGCAAAAACTGCTCCGGTAATATGGTGTAGGTTTTCCCTTTGTCTTTGAAGTGCTTACTTGCCTCTGTCTAGAGACGGACCCCATTGCAAGCTCTCGCAAGTGCTGGGGAGTGGGATATTTGAAGTTCCATCTACAATGCCCTACAAAACTGAGTGCATTGTTCTTATGGGCGGGATCCATTTATGGGGGAAGACATTATTATTTCACCCTTCACTACACTGCCAGCTTTCTCTTTCTTATGAGTTAGATGTCTGAGGAGACATTTCACTGGTTTAAGAAAGGAAGTAAAGAATAGTCTTTATTTTTAATGTTGGAAACCCTTGTGTGTTGTAGATTTTTGTTTGTACAGATCTAATTCTTCATTGCAGTTTGATTTGTACTGCCATAAAAGGAAGGGAGAAAGAATAAGATTTAATAGCAAGTAAGACTTTCCTTGGCCATCCCAGTCAGTTTTGTATGTTTGCATCATGTTCATTGCTAAGTGCATCTTACATATCATACTGAAATGTTTCCCATCCAGGTCTTTCCAGAGGATAAACATGAAAAGATACTGTTATAAATTGTTTCAGCATTCATGGGCAGGGTACTGTAAAGTCTATCTAAGACTGATTAGCTAAATGATTGAATCATAAAGGAATTGTTGAAATCTGAGAGTGATTTTGTGCAGTTGAAGTTAAAATTTAAGGTCAGACCACTAGTGCATGAAGAGAGGTCTCTAACAAGAGAAAAGGCATATTTTTCTGATTCACTTTGAAGCCTCACTCCAAGCCATGCATTAAATTAACAATATTATCATAAAAATGAGGGTGCTAATTCCATCCAATGCTGAAATTTGAAAAATGATTTTACAGAAGCCTAAGCCATGCATTAAATGAACACAGTATTAACTGGGCTGATATTGTTAAATCAATTTAAATGCCTCCTGTAGCCTGAGTTTGTGTAGAGTGGAATAGAGAACATCATTTGTTGGTTCAGCCCAGAACTTTCTGGTGCCCTGGTTTTAATTTGCAGAATTTTCTTTAGAACCATTTCTCCAGTGCTTTGCTTGCAGTGGATTTGCTTTTTAAAGTAATCGATTCCGTATTAAAGTATGAGGATGGTATTTTCTTTCAGTGCTCATTTGTTCTGTACTGCTAATTATGTCCAGTCGTGTTTCAAATTACACAAGAAACTTTTATAATGCAAAAGATCCCTAAGATGCCTTGTGTTGGTGAAAATATTGTGGGTTCATCTGCTTCATTACATAATTCCTACACATTTCATTTGAAAGGTTATTTAATCAAAAGTGCACCAATAAAAACCATAAAAATATTTAATGGAGTTCCAGCAATTCTATATCAGTTTTTGTATTGTATAAACATAGCAGCATTTTAATTCTGTGGGGTTTCCGTGGAAAGTAGGGTTCTATAAAACATACCCATTTACTCCCTTTCATTCCCACCCCCCGCCATCATCTCCTTTTTTTTTTTTTGACTTTGTTCCTAGCCATTTTTCCCATTGTTAATCTTCTCTACAACGTTGCCTTTTGTTTTTGTGTTTTTACTATTTATCCATTCAGGAAATGCTATTGAGTGCAGAGAGTTAAGTACCAAAGCTGCCTCTGTAAGTAAGGACATGTTGTCTTCTCTCATGGACCTTCGA